TATATATATATATATATATATATATATATATATATATTTGATAATAAGATAGTTGTTTATATAATAATATGGGGACAACAACACAAGAGTGATGAGTGATGAGTGATGATGATTAATTTGATGAATGAAGAAGGCGCAGAAGATAACGGGGAAGCAGAGGTAAGGTAAATGAAGAAACACATGTATTCCTGTTTAGTATACAAACAGAAGACCGTAAAATGCCAAAAGAGCTTCCCCGTTCAGAATCACAAAAATACAGCGAATCTTCCATGTTATTCTGCGGCCCCCTACAGCTTCAATCTCAGCCGTACACGAAATCAATCCAACGGTTCGCGGCGTGGTTCCGTTCTGCGCAAGTGTGCAACAGGATCATTTGGTCCCCGCGTCACACGTCTCCTCCAGCTCAACCACGTGATTGTGACTGCACTCTCACCTTTTTATTTCTTTTACATTTTTATATTCAACGCTACTTATTATTATTATTTTTATTTTTATAAAATCAGGTGCTTGTGTAAACAAGTGCTCTCTAAAATCTAAATAAAACCAATAGACAACGCTTGTCTAAACAAGTTCTTTCTTTTTATTTATAAACACTGCAATATTATCAACAACAATAAATAACAAAAAGAGTGTCTTATGACGTAGACGTTTTTTTACATAAAATATTAGAAAAATACTTACCAATATTCTTAGGACACTAGTTAAAGAATAAAAGTAAAAAGTTTTTATTGAAACATATATTTATACATTCTCTTGTGTAATTTTTAATAAAATTTTCTACATATTGATTTGTTAACCAATGTCTTTAAGATACTAATCAATAAGACCCAAAATCTTATTACACTGCTTATTGGCTCAAATATTCTCTTTATATTCCGTGGTTTGATATATAGCGTTTATTTAGTTCTAAATGACGCTATGAATCGACATTTTTTACGTACTGTGTATTCAATTATTAATACAATATAATGATTTTTTTTTTGTTTTTTGTTTTTTGTGAGAAACTACTAGTGTATCGCGTTAAAAAGGATAGAAGGGACAATGTGAATAAGTTAGAAGTTTCAAGTAAAGTTTTTAGTGTAGTATTCATCTTATTCTGAGGAGCGTACCTAACCAGTGTTGGGCTTATTTCCTTGGTGTTCCTTTTCTTCTCTGGGCCCTGTGAAATATTTGACGCGTCATTACTCATTTCCCCGCCGACTACAACGTCACGTAACGATGGACCTTATAAAATTGTATTTGGATACCAACTGATTCTCCCAAAAGTTAAAAATGTGAACACGATTTTCACTCAACAGAGGTTGGGCTTATACGAATCAGCTGTAATTGTATTTTTAATGAGTTTAATTTCTTAGTGTGAAAAAATTTATATTACTAATTGATTAAAATTTATTTTATAAATATTTTTAAAATACGTATCACTTAAATCACACACACATCAATAAATTTATCATATATAATAATCTATAGTTATATAATAATGTAAAAAATGCTATTATATTCTGATTGGATATTTTAATTTAAATTACTTGCGATTTTAGTGACTTAAGTTAAAATTTAAATACATTATATGATATTTCCCAAATTATTTATTTACTTTTTATTAGACAAGTATATACAGATTTGTTTTGAAGACTAAGTATATATAAGTCAAATATGTATAATATTTGCTGAAAAAGCCTCTAGCTTTTATTATATACGCGCAAAGAGAGCAGTGATTAGTTCTTTGGATGACATTCTAAGATATAAATCACGTGCCTAAGGTTTTCTGCCTTTTTTGGTTTTCATCTTTTGATTAAGGGGAGAAGGATACCATTCAAAGGTGACTTGGACTCCAATTAATTTTGTCCTCTTCGATGTCAAATTTTGCTACTTTCAATTTCAGATGTGTAGCCTCTCTTGAATTCCAAATTTCAATTTGAGACGGTGCAGTAATTTTTGAATAGTCAAAATTAAAAGTTCCTGTTGCAGCAATTTAAAATTGTTGGCTTGATTTAATTTTCTGACATTGCCTCCCTTAAATCAAGTTTGTATCATTCCAAACATTCTTTTTAACTTATAAAATAACTCGACTTTTAATGGCTTCGTGAAAATATCTGCAACTTGTTCTTCAGTTGGACAATATTCAATTGCTACTTCTTTCTCAGCTACCAGTTCTCGGATTTTATGAAATCGAATATCTATGTGCTTGGATCGTCCATGAAATACTGGATTTTTGCATAATGCAATTGTTGACTTATTATCACAAAATATCACTGTGGGAGTATTTTGCTTTTGATGCATCACTTCAAGCATTCTTCTCAGCCACACAGCTTGGGTTGCACAACTTGCTGCTGCTATATATTCTGCTTCGGCTGTTGAGAGTGCCACCACTTGTTGCTTCTTTGATGACCATGATATAGTACCACTTCCAAGATTGAATGCATATCCTGACGTGCTCTTTCTCGTCTCTATATCTCCTGCCCAATCACTATCCGTATATCCAACAAGATTCACATCAATGTCTTTATCATAGAAAATTCCTTCTGTCAGAGTACCTTTGATGTATCTGAGAATTCTTTTAGCTGCCTGCCAATGAGAATCTCGAGGCTTTTCCATGAATCTGCTGAGTAGTCCAACTCCATAGACAATATCTGGCCTGGTTGCAGTTAAATATCTAAGGCTTCCAATCAAACTTTTATAGAGAGTTGGATTGACTTTCTTGCCTTCAATGTCACTTGTCAGCTTCAACTTTTCTTCAACAGGTGTTGAAATTGGCTTTGAATTCTCCATCTTGAATTTCTTTAAAATATCACCTGCAAATTTCTTTTGAGAAATGAAAATTCCATCATCTTGCTGATCAACCTTGATGCCCAAAAAATAAGACATTAGACCCAGATCCGTCATTTCAAAACATTTAACCATAGCCTCCCTGAATTCTGCAAACATTTTTGGATTATTGCCAGTAAAAATTAGATCATCAACATAGAGGCACACAATAAGAATATTGTCAGGATCAACAGATTTGATATACAAAGTGTGTTCAAATGGGCATCTCTGAAAACCATTATCCACAAAGTAAGAATCAATCTTCTTATACCACGCCCTGGGTGCCTGCTTCAAACCATACAATGCCTTCTTCCATTTGTAGACTTTATCTTCTTTTCCTTTAACTTCATATCCTGCAGGCTGCTCAACATATACTTCTTCTTCCAAAGTGCCATTCAGAAAAGCAGATTTAACATCCATTTGATGAATTTTCCAATTATTTTGAGCTGATATAGAGATAAGCATACGAATTGTATCTAATCTCGCTACAGGAGCAAATACCTCAAAATAATCAATACCTGGCTTTTGTTTGTACCCTTTTGCTACCAACCTTGCTTTAAAGCGATCAATTTCTCCATTGGACTTGTACTTAGTTTTATACACCCACTTTACTCCAATTGGCCTTTTATCTGCTGGTAAGTCTGTCAGCTCCCATGTTTGATTCTTCTCAATGGCATGAATTTCTTCATCCATTGCTTTTCTCCAATGTTGATTATTTGAAGCTTCTTCAAAAGTTACAGGCTCACAATCTGCAAATAAGGCAAAATTGATAATTTCTTCATCAGATGGGTCATTATCATTACCCACAACATAATCCTCATATATATATATATTAAAATTTTAAAATTATTAAATTTTTAATGGGAGAGATTCAAATTGCACAATTATGATATTTGAGGGACTAAAATTGTTCAATTAAAAATTAAAGGACTAAAATTGCACAATTACAATTCTTTAGGGACTAAAATTATCCAATTAAAACTTTAGGGATCAAAATTGCACAATTACAATACATGAGGGATCAAAAATGTAATTAAGCCAAAATTAAATTAATACTCTTTTTTTCTTAATTTCACAAGTTTTTTTTTAAATATTTTTAATAAATATCTTAATTTCTTATGCTCAAAATTGATATTTTTTTTTATTTAATTAAATGAATTTCATAATTTTTTCAGACTTTTAATGAAATAAAATATTTTTTTTTAAAAATTTAACAATATATATATATATATATATATATATATATATAAGTATTTCTAATTTTGGCCAGAATTAACTTAATTCCAACAGTTTGCCTATAAAGTGAGATTTGTTTACAACTTTTATAAACGTTATTTTATATTAATTGTATACAAACAAGCTCTGAGAGAACTTTATCTTCTTTTTTTTTTTTTGTGAACAGAAGTTAAATCTAAGAAAACAACGTTGGCTAGAAAAATACTCTCCATTGTTAAATTAAACTACACAGAAGTGAACCTTTCAGCAGATTACCCAAACAGAAGCCTGTTCAGTTTGTACCCTGAATTCAAGTGTATTCTTTTTGGATAAATAGTTCAAACTTTGCCAAACCGAGAGATAAAAATAAAAACTCGGACAAAAACAGGGTTTTATCGGGCAACAAACAAATGCGTGAATGAATATGTTTTTCTTTTTCCTCAAAATAAGCATATTAGGAAGAAAGAAAGCAGTACTTGTATATGATTACTAGATTAGCAATCATGATGCAACAAACTTGATAATCCAGTTCTTTGCACCCAAAATAGATATGAAAATAACTTAATTAAGCATTGAGCACTGTGATATCTCAAAAATGTTTCCTTAATGACAATGATTCAATGAAGGAGTGAAATTATGTGCGTTGTTCAATTAGTTAATTGAATCAAGTTGTAAACCAAAACTACATTAACTGCTGTAGAAGATGGAAGCGGCACTTCACCATATCAGTTGTTAGGTGTCGAGCTAAAAATAATACAACGCGGCCAATTCTCGGTTACATGTTTAAGATGACTACGCTACTGCACTGTGAAAAAAAAAAAAGTTGTAACAAACTAACAATATCAACCAAAAATAAAAATAAAAATAATGCTAACTATATAAAAATAAATTAACCGCTTACAATTTGTGCCGTGAGAAGGCAAACATTAAACAATTTGCTTATAAATAAAAGATTGAGGAGCAGTTATGCTGCGGGTGGAAATGTAATTTGCTGGCACCATTTTTGTAGTCACCTTACTTCATTATTAAGATTATTGTATCTATACTATTTTAATGCTGCTTATTGCGTAGAAATAGGTTGTATTCTGTACGGCTTGAATGAATAAAATTAAGAGTATTCAACCAATCAAGCATATTGAGTATATAATGTCCTACCAATATGATAATACGATCGAGAGGACATTTGTGACCCTTTTTAGAGAGCTGTTAAATGAGTTTTTCATCCATTTAATATCTTCACCTGTCTGCTGTCTTTTATTATACTTTATGTAGAGAACACTGGTCGTTGATGGTCAATTAAGGATTTGTTTGGTTATAAAAGTTAAAATAAACCTTTGTTGGCATTACTTGATCTCGCCAAATGACAAATAGTAATCGAGATTGATGACCACAACATAGGATCGACAGCACAATAAAGCAATACAGATGTGACATCATGTGAGTTGGCCTTAATTTGGCTTTTCGATTTGAGCATTACATATTGACATCTAATGTATGAATGTGTTTAGTTATTCGTCATTATATGCACTGTAAGAAAAGAAATATAAAAGGTTAATTTTTTAGTTGAAAACCAAATCATTCATTAGGCTTTATTCTGGTAAAACCAACCAAGAAACAAAATCACGGTTCATATAAGGAGTTGTCTTCTCTGAATTCGATGTACATGACTGGCTTTGCCTTCTCTAAGCAAATGATAATAATAATAAAGTTGGTTTTTAGTGCTTTGCTTACTAGTTGCTACCATTGCTTCGCTGTTAATTGGCTTTTAGTACCTTGCTCTACTCTATTCATTGCTACAACTGCTGTTCTGTTATCTGTCGCTTAGATTTATTGTAAAATTGAATAAATAACAAAAAAAAAAAAAAAAAAAAAAACTTAACACGCAGGCTTCATCATGCGAACCTATTCTATTCTAACACGAGTGTTTCTGAAAGTTGCAGCTTTCTAAAGGTACTATGAGAATACTTTGGTACAGTAGCATAGGTAGTGTTAACATTTAATCGAAATATAAGATAAAATAAAAAAATGAATTGGAGAAGAGGAGGTATGTGTAGAATGAATGAAGGTTAAAAAGAAGGATGGGGAAAATTGTTTTGTTAATGAATTTAGGGGAAAGGGCGGTGAAGCGATTAAAGAGGTAAAGATTGAGAGGAATGTACAATATAAGATTGCGGAAGGCAGTGAAAAAGAGAAACAAGGTTGAATTCCTGTGGGCATAACATAACATATCATAGATAAAGATAAAGATAAAGCACCTTGTTTGTTTGATTGGAATCAGAAGGTGGAGGAGGAGTGGATGAGATAAGTGAGCGCCAAAGCCAACATCATGAGCACATACGCAATCCCTTGATCAATGGAGGTTCCTGAAGCGAACGACATAAAGTTATGAAAATGAGAATGCAATGCAATGGAAGATGGGATGGAGTTACCGTCGCTAGTGGGAGGCGGTGCCGGAGGTAGGGATTGAGCATTGGCGGCGAGAGGCATGCAGAGAGCGAAGAGGAGAGAGGCAAGGAAGGCCATCACTCCCAAACCGAATGAAAATCTGGAACTTGCCATCTTTTCTTTTTTCTCTCTCGCTCCCCACTCCCCACTGCCTCACGCCTTTAATAAGCCCTTGCGTTACGGAGGAGAGAGAGAGAGAGAGAGGCAACCGGCCAAGCCGGTAGTGCAAAATGCCATGGTGGGGTCCACCACCTTGTTCAAGCTGTAAACCCATGTGATTGCCCCTTTCCTTTCGATTCCACACCGCTCACACTCTGTCGCCTTTTGCCTTGGCGCCATATGCTTTCTCTAACTTTTCTTTCAAATTTAAACAAATATCCCATCATTTTTTTAAACCTTTATTCTACTTTTAACCATCTACCTTTCATCCATATGTCATTTTATCGCTCAATTTTTTATATTTTATATTTTCCCACCTAAAATTTATGTTTTTATATATATTTTTACAATATTAATTAATCAATTATTTTTATTTGAATAATAACAAGATATATTGATTATTTATGTGTTATATTAATTATTAACATGATATATTATATCTTGTTAATATTTATATATTATATTAATAATCAATATGTCACATCAAAAATTAATGAACAAAGTAATAATATGCAAAATTTTAAAAATTGTAATATAATGTATAATTTAAAAAGTTCAGTGATAAAACTTTTATAATCATAAAAATATGGATGACAAAAAGTGTAAATAATATTTTTTATATTTTAAGATATTAAATAAATTTTAATTTTAGTTTAATATTTTTTGTATTAAGATTGTTAATAATATTTTTTTTTTATAAAGAGATATAACTTTTTCTTATCGAATTGATCTCTATAAAGTTATATTCAATTATTATTATATATCTAAGACAGGAATCAAATCTCAGCCTTTAATTAAAAAGTACACATATCAAATAATATTTAAATTAATCTTTAGATAAAAAAATTTAATAAAATTAATAAGTTGTTAGTACAAGTAAAATTAAACTAAATTTCTTTAAATAAAGTATTAAATTCAAATCCTATGAATAAAAAAAATATAATTGAAAGAGAATATTTCACTAATAATGATCAACCAAGTTTCTGGATGAATTATTCTCTTATAAAGTTAGTGGATACTCCCTTTCAATGTATATATAAGCAAAAAAAATGTTTAAATTGTTTCAGCTCAAATATAATCAAATTTTTCAATAAAGTCAATTTTATTTAATATTTTTATCCAAAAAATACTCTTAAAGTAATAAATTATCTACAATAAATATGATTAAAGATATTTTATTAAATACAATGTATATTTAATTTAATTGTCTTCATTAATATATGTTAAGTTATTTTTTTTTCTTATATAAGTTTAGAAGAAATATTTCACATCAATAATATGATTATTCAAATAAAAAAATTACTATATTATCTCTCTATATAAGACTCTTTTAATTTACACATTTTTTAAAAAATTTGATTAATCTAATTAATATTAAATTTGTCAACAAAAAAAATGAACTATTTTTAAAAAATTATCCTCAACATTATATAAATTAATCATCTCTTTTCATATAATTACTCCCCGATTAATTAATTAATGTTAAAAATATATTTATTCAATTTTCTCATTCCTGATGAGAGAATATTTTTTATCCCATTCATTAGTTTTTTCCTAAAAAAATTATTAATTAATTACGAGTATTGTAAAAGGAAGATAATCAATAAAAAAGCCAATTAGAAACTGTACTATCCGCACTGCATAGCCGAGTTCCGAGCTCGGCACCACAACGCAAGCCGACCTCGGACGCGCACCGCGTGGCATCAGCTCGACATTTAAGTGAATCATAACGGATTCTCGAGGATCTCGCCCCAGACGAGGTCCGTTATCTAATCACATTACATCTTATCTCAAGCCCAAGGCCCAAAGCAACCCTAAGTCACACCAAGGTAAGTGCATTACATATACGAGACACATACTCATACAAACCCTAACTTTAGCATCAGAGTCTCTTTTGCAGGTACCACCCCCATCTCGGAGCACCAGCGTACCAGTGAAGGAGGCTCACCGATCTTACATGGCAGATCAACTCTACAGCAGATTTCCGGTAAGAACATTTGGCGCCCACCGTGGGGTCGACCAAGACAGCTCTTATCGGCCACTCCTATGGTTTTCACCAGAAGTCATAGTAGACGCACGACAGACGACGCAAACCACTCAACTGCCATGGATAACGAAGCAACGTTGAGGAGACTGATCGATCAGGTCGAACAGATGCGGCAGCAACACGCCGCCGACCTACAAAACATGCGTGCCAAGCACGACACTAACCTAGCGGCAATGCGTGCCACTAACGAAGCCAACCTGGCGGCGCTACGCGCCGAGAACGAGCGAATCCGCGCTCAACTCCCTCGACACCACTCCGATCATCCTCCTCATACGGGCAACCACAATGAGGAAGAGGAGCACTCAGTCTCTCAACCTCGGACGACAACCAAGACACCAACTCAACGACCTGCAACGCATCGGTCTCACGCACCGACGCACAAGTCAGCCCATGAAATCAGCAAGGCCCTCACTCATGCCGCGGGGGATCAGGCAACCTTCCGCCGCCACCCTTTTGTGGATGGCATTATGGAGACACCACTCCCTCACGGGTGGAAGCCTCTCCACCTCGACCGCTACGATGGCACGACAGACCCGGATGAGCACATCGACTTGTACACAACACAGGTAAATCTCTACACCAACAATGATGCTATTTTGTGTAGGGTGTTTCCTACCTCACTCAAGGGGGCCGTGCTCAACTGGTACACCCAACTGCCCCCCGAGTCCATCGACAGTTTTGGCACCCTAGTCAGGAGATTCACCGCGCAATATGCGACGAGCCGACCTCATCATGTCACTTCAGCCGCCTTGGCCGGTCTCAGGCAAAACGACGACGAACCACTCCGGGCATTCATGGAACGGTTCGCTGCCACCTCGATCAAGATTAGAAACCTGAATCCCGAGGTTGCCCTACATGCCATGCTCATGGCACTCAAACCCGGGCCATTTGTCGACAGCCTGTGTCGTGAGTCCCCCCGCGACATGGACGAGCTCCGCGCCCGCGCCGCAGGTTACATCCAGATGGAGGAAAATCCGCCTTTCGTGACCAGGTTCGCAGAAAAGGACCTGCAAAGCCAGAGCAGGGGCACAACGACAAGGTCAAAGTCAACAATGACAGCCAGTTCAAGAGGTCGGCTAAGGCAAACAGAGGGGGGAGATACGACTTCTACACTCCCCTAAACGCACCAGAGTCCCCACCCTGAAAGAAGCCAGCAACAACAACTTACTCGCCCTTCCACCACCAGGTGACACTCCCAACAGCGCCGACAAGTCCAAACACTGTCGGTACCACAGGAACCATGGTCACACCACGGAGGAGTGTCGCACGCTTCGGGACCGCATCGAAGAGCTCATCCTGGTAGGCCACCTCGGCCAATACATCCAGCGACAGCAGGGTCACCGAGGAGGCTATGGTAGTCGGGGGCGTGGCAGAGGACGAGGCTCGGGAACTCGCACGGACCAACCCTCAGGCTCCCAACAAAATGCCGGCGGCGTAGTGCAGGCCGAGGTAAGCCAGGAGACAGGGTCAGCCCCCTTACGGGGAGTGATTAACACAATTGCAGGTGGTTTCGCTGGGGGGGCGCCAGCAGCTCGGCCCGAAAAAGGCACCTGCGGAATGTCAACTGCATCCACTCTACCACCTCGGCCTCGCACCAAAGCTCACCGCCGATCTCCTTCTCTGACGAGGACTACGCGGGTGTCAGCCCTAACCAAGATGATCCCATGGTTATCATGGTGGAGGTCGCCAACTGGGAGGTACAGAAGACACTCATTGACCAAGAAAGTTCGGCCGACGTCCTGTACTAGCCAACGTTCCTTAGGCTAGACATCCCCCATTCTCTCATCCAGTCGCACACGGAGCCCTTAGTCGGCTTCGCAGGAGAGCGAGTTCACACTCGCGGGTACATAGACCTACTGACAACCTTCGGGGTACCCCCGGATACAAGGAGAATCATGGTTCGATACCTTCTCGTGGAGGCCAACACCTCCTATAACATCATCATCGGGAGGCCAACCTTGAATCAGCTCGGAGCGGTGGTGTCCACCCCACACCTCACCATGAAGTCCCCAGGGAATGACGGCAAGATCATCTCCGTCAAGGCAAATCAGAAGACAGCTCGCCAGTGTTACGCCGAGAGTCTGAAGATCTCCTCATCCGGAGCAAGGGGGGTCCCCCCACCATAGCTCACTAGGTTCTATTTCTCCTTTCTGTATGAACAAAATTGTGCACTCTTTTCCCGCCTCAGTCCTTGACTGAGAGGGTTTTTAACGAGGCACACAAAAACGATTGATAAAATTACTCATTTTGCTGAATCCATTTTCTTATTTATTGTTTTTATAAAAAACAAAATCGAACCAATCTCTTTCACCCTTACTAAGGTCGAGTACGAACCTTAATACTCCAAAATGAGGTCAAATACGAACCTCAACACTCCAAACCGAGGTCGAGTCCGAACCCCGTTAAAATCTTGAGGTCGAATACAAACCTCAACACTCCCAATCCGAAGTCGAATCTGAACCTCGTTAAAGTTTGAGGTCGAATACGAACCTCAATAATCTTATCCCATAACGCGCCACTTGCACGTTTCCGGGAAATGAACAGTCGCGACACATGGCACCACAACGAGCAAGCGTACGCGAAAGGTCACCTCCCCCCAGCAAGCTCGGTCTTAACTCCTCAACCTACAGTCTTCGGAGCTCGGGGGGCTAGTGTACTATCCGCACTGCGTAGCCGAGCTCCGAGCTCGGCACCACAACGCAAGCCGAACTCGGACGCGCACCGCGTGGCATCAGCTCGGCATTTAAGTGAATCATAACTAATTCCCGAGGATCTCGCCCCAGACGAGGTCCGTTATCTAATCACATGACATCTTATCTCAGGCCTAAGGCCCAAAACAACCCTAAGTCACACCAAGGTACGTGCATTACATATACGAGACACATACTCATACAAACCCTAACTTTAGCATCAGAGTCTTTTTTGCAGGTACCACCCCCATCTCGGAGCACCAGCGTACCAGTGAAGGAGGCTCACCAATCTTACCTGGCAGATCAGCTCTACAGCAGATTTCCGGTAAGAACAGAAACAAACTTTAAAAAATAAAGTGAAAATGATCCTGATCAATTTGCTTTAGATAAAGCAATAAAAAAAACATTTTTAAAAAGTAGTTAGAATTTTCTTTTAAAAAAACATCATAAAATTATTATTATTTTTATAGAAAAAAACAGTTTAGATAATCGCATAAAGAAAATTATTGAAAAAAAGTTTAAGAAAAAATTTATATATAGAAAGAGACAAATAGATAAATGTACAAATAAATAGAAAAAAGAAATTGTATTATTAAGTTATTATTAAATATTAGGAACATGAGAGAACTTTTTATTAGAACTCTATATGTGTCCATAATGATAATTTTGAATCAATCTAACTTAGTTTAAATTTCAATTATTCTCACATTTTACTAAAATTTATTATTTTCAATAAATTTCAAACTATCAAATATTTTTTATTTAGTATTTTTATTATTAACTAAAATTTATTAAAAAATATAAATTTAGGTGACTTCCACATTGAGTAACATTTGTTATTTTCAATAAATTTCAAACAAACTCAAATATTTTTTGTCTTGCATTCTTTATTATTAGTAAAAATTTATTAAAAATCATAAATCTCAGTAAGAAAAAATTAATCTTAAACATCACCTCATTTTACAGCTGAGTACATAATTATAATTAACGAGATGCAACATCTCAGTACTCTATATATGATTGTGTATTATATATTTTAAGGGTATCCTCTCTTCCATAAACCCGAAATAACAGAGACACTTTTTTATAACATGTTTTTTTTCATGCATATAATATAAATTCGATACTAAACCTAAAATTATGTTTAAAGGGTTTTCACTACTTTAATTAAGATATGTTCTAAATGAGTACAGTAGTCCCTTAGAATTATAAAAACGACGTCGTTGATTAGAATGTTGGCCAAGCTGGCATTGAATGAAATAGTAACATATATATAATTTGTTGTGAAACTTCTAAAAACGCTTGTGAAGGAGAATGACGACCATGACCGCAGTTAGCAATGCGAATACGTGGTCGCTGTAAGAGAAAATTGGCGGCAAGATCGGAGACATGCAACGGCCATTTGCATTCTCGCTAGAGTCTTAGGTAAGAAATGAACAACAAAACAAACTCTTTCTCCAGTTCAATCCTTCACTTCCAGTAACGTTAACATACCGTCAAACTTTCATTTCCGTTTCCCTTTCTCTCCGTCGGTTTTCTCTTACATTAATTGCTTAACTCATCATCATACCACCCTGCAACCACCAAACTCCTAAACCCCAAAATAATCATATAAAACACCCTCCCGCCTTCTTCTTCTTCTTGCTTTCCCATCTCTCACAGGGTAACATTTTCTCATCTTTCTATTCACGATTCTTGTCATCCTTAATATCATAGCAACTTCTCTTTTTCCTAAAGCCATAAGGCTTTTTCCTTCACCATTTTCGATAAATGATTAGATAATCCAGAATAGTCAATTAATCTATACGTGTGCTTTTCAATATTTATGATTTTTAACCATATTTGATTACATGATATTGATAGTAAAACCCGGTAAAAAAATCATATCATGCTCATCTGAACTATCTAATAAAATCATGCATATAGTAGAAGTACTTAATAATTTCATTATGAATTTGGTGACACATAATCTCTATGCATGGATTCATTTACTTTAAATGCAATCGTAATTCTACATCCATTTAGGTACATTGTTGTTATGATCCGGATTGGTGACACTTTATGCATGGAAATCCAATTGTAATTGTAAAGTGTTGTTTTGCAGATTTAATTAAATTTGGAAGGTGCCGGAATGGAACAATTCCGGCATATAGGAGAGGTGGTTGGGAGTCTGAAAGCGCTAATGGTGTTGCGCGACGAAATCCAAATCAACCAACGGCAATGCTGTTTGATTCTGGACATCTTCAGTTTGGCGATGGAGACGATCGCGGAGGAGATACGGCAGAATCTGAAGCTGGAGGAGCGAAACACGAAATGGAAGTGTCTGGAGTATCCTCTGAAGGAGCTATGCAGGGTTTTCAAGGAGGGAGAGCTTTACATAAGGCAGTGTTTGGATTCGAAGGAGTGGTTGGGGAAAGCCCTGACGCTCTCTCAGAACCGCGACTGCGTGGAATTCCACATCCACAACCTGCTCTGCTACTTCCCGGCGGTGGTGGAGGCCATCGAGAGCGCGGGCGAGATCTCAGGCGTGGATCCCGACGAGAAGGGGAAGAAGAAGCTGATGCTGGCTCGGAAGTACGACGTGGAATGGAACGACCCGAAGCTGTTCCAGTGGAGGTACGGGAAACAGTATCTGGTCCCGCGCGAGATCTGCAAGCAGTTGGAAAACGCGTGGCGAGAGGACAGGTGGCGCCTCGTTGAGGCCATCAAGGACAAGACTCAGAGAAAGGCTTCCGCGTTCACCAAAAGCCAGCACCGCCTCGCTGACACGCTTCTCAGGAAACTCGTTAATGGCTCCGAGATGGGCCCAATTGGGGTCCTCGTTGGGTCCAAGGATTACCTCGTCAGACGCAGATTGGGCCGCGGGAGGGAGTTTAAGGAGATCCAATGGCTGGGTCATGGCTTCGCTTTGCGCCAGTTTCAAGCGGAGAGAGAAGCCCACCAGGCAGAGGTTTCGTCTCTTCTCTCGCTCTCTCACCCCAACATACTGCAGTACCTATGCGGCTTTTACGACGAGGAGAAGAAAGAGTTTTCTCTTGTCATGGAGTTGATGAACAAGGATTTAGGAACTTACATGAAAGAGAATTGTGGGCCCAGGAGACAGATTCTCTTCTCTGTCCCTGTCGTCGTCGATCTCATGCTTCAGATGGCCCGAGGCATGGAGTATCTACACTCTAAAAAGATTTGCCATGGACACCTTAACCCTTGCAATATTTTACTCCGGGCCAGGAACTCCCAAGAGGGTTATTTTCAGGCCAAGGTTACAGGTTTTGGCTTATCTTCTTTGCACAAGGGTGATTCCAACGAGGACATAAACCCTTTAACTTGGTATGCCCCTGAAATTCTCACCGAGTTGGAGCAAACAGGGGATGCTTGTGCTTCTACATCAGAGAAATCTGATGCATATAGCTTTGGGATGATATGCTTCGAGTTGTTGACAGGGAAAGTGCCTTTTGAGGATAACCACCTTAAAGGAGATAGAACGAGCCATAACATTAAAGCGGGGGAGAGACCCTTGTTTCCTTACCAATCCCCCAAGTACCTTGTGAGTTTGATAAAAAAGTGTTGGCAAACGGACCCTTCTCAGCGTCCTACATTCTCCTCCATTTGTAGGATTCTGCGTTACACAAAAAAGTTTCTTGCCATGAACCCTGAAGTCAACGTTATTGACCAGCAGCAGGTTCCGCCTGTTGATTGCTGCGACATAGAGGCAACGTTCCTCAAGAGCGTTACGATGGAGAGGACTTCTGTGTCCGCTGTGTCGCAGATACCGTTTGAAATGTTTGCTTATAAAGTTGCTGAGAAAGGTAAAATGAGTCGGAACAATGGTACTAAGGATAAGTGCTGCGACTGCGAGGTCCCCAAGGATGATTCCTCGGCGTGTAAGAGTGAAAGTGATGACCAAAACACAGTGTGTGCTGACGATAACATGTCGGTAGTGGAAGATCCGCTCCCACTAGGAGGAAACTATCCAACCTCTGAATCCCCGTTCAGGAGAACTGATCGAATAAAGAAACAAACACAACTAAAGAACAAAAAAGACCAAGGTCAGTTCAGTTGTTTAATTTGCACTCTATGTGTTACAATATATGGTTTCCAAGGCCTTTTATTTTAGGAAAATAATTCATGCAAACTTGAGTGGTATTTAACGCCTAAAGTAAAAAATAAATACAAACAAGTACGTGGATCAACGGGTAAAAGTTGTTTTAGTTTAACGTAGTCTCAGTTTGAGTCCTGAGTTCTCGAAGGAAGGGTATTGCTAGTCATAATGGTCTTACCAGACTCAAACAAAATATCTATGGTGATCATCTTAGCATGTTATTTACGCTCCACCCAATTATTATATTGAGGATAGAGACATTATGGTTTTTGGTTTGTGATGAAAATATTTAGGAGTGTGTTTGTATTTTGATATTTTGCTGAATTTGATTGCAAGAAACTAAATATATATTCAATTGGTTGAAACAGGAACATCAAATAGGCATGCGACAAAATCATTAGCATCATCTAATCGTGTTTTAAGGACGAGTAAGGTGAATCGGTCGTTGTTGGCACCAAGTCCCGGTAGAAGTCGACCTCCCCTAGTCTCTGAATCAGAGCGCAACTCCAAAGGGAATCAATTACCATCAATGTCGATTCCTTCGAGCTCAGTTAGAAGAAAAAAAACTGATGGTAACTTGTCGGATTCTAAGGCCAGTTTAAAGCCCAAAAAAAGGGACCAGTCACCATCATCTACATATGGCAGTGTCTGTGTCACGGATGGATTAAAGATGAAAAAACCACAACTACCATTGAAACCTTCTTCGAGCCCAGCAAGACTAAGACGTGCCAACACTGAGACCAATTTGAAATGTCTCGCGCCAAACCCTGCGTTGAGCACTTCGAAAACATGCACAAGCAAAAAAGGTGGTGCTCATGTCTCAGATATGTATAGTGGTTTAAAGGTGACAAGAGGTAGGTTATCATTGTTCGCATCGAGTCCCTTGAGCTCCCATGAGAGAAGAAGAAAAACAAGTGGTCATGTCTCTGACTCCGAGAGTACTAGTACGAAGAATAGAGAAAGCTTGTCACCATTTACAACGAATCCTTTGAGTCCATATGAGAGCAGAACTTGTGGACATGTCTCGGATTGAGGTCCTTTACCTTTCTTAGCACAGTTCTAGTCCTCAGATCACCATTTGCATCATGCAGTTTTTCCCAATATTTATGTACTCTTACTTAACACATGCATATCTGAAGATAAATGGAAAACACAAAATGTAGCTTCTTAAGAGTTAAGAGAGAAGGTTAGAAGCAGAGTTTCATGCCTGGTTGTATTATTTGCTGGTGTTTTAGGACTACGGTTTTTAGCAACTGAATTTTGGGTGGATATATTCGTCACAACTGGAACTTGACTCCCTAACTTTCTATCCCTTTTGTTTCCTTTCCTAATACTCTTTCTCAAATTCAATTATGTTCAATTCGATTAGGATTCTTTACATAAATTGTTAGTTGTGTAGTGGGAGAAAGCAGGGACAATTCATCTAACCAAGCTCCACGAGAGACCTAAATCTTGACATTAACCTGTTTGGATTTGCACTTTCTAGCTTTAACATATCACCTAAAAAAATTAAAGGTTGTTTTTGGCTTATTTAGGTGAATTTTAAAGGAACATAAATCGCAGATCGTGGATGGTGAACTACACACCCTACAAGTGATTGGTTTAATGCAAAATAAAGGTGTACATATAAACTAATTCAATGTAATAAATAAAAAATAAAATAAAATTTCACAATCTAAATTTTTTTTTTGAATGAGATCAATTTTTAATAATATTCAAATCAATCTATATGTACATGCTAGATAATTTTATTTATAAAAGTAGGACAATGCTCGTATATATTTATATACTATTTACTCAATAAATATTTATGAAATTATTTTATTATTATATTATTCTTTGAATTTTTTTTTATCAAATTAAGTCTTATTATTATTATTATTATTATTTACAAGGTCATAAGCATCCTTTACATAAGTAATTATATACAAATTAAGTTGGATTACAATAAATTAAGTTGGATTACAACAAGCAATTTCCTTTATTCTATATAATTGTATACTTAAAACTCGAAATCAATAATGGTATCACTAGAAATTGAAATTTTTTGTTAATTTAAATATAATATAATCTAGACTTAGTTTGTAAAAATTTAAATATTTTTTTTTGTTATATTTTCTTATCAAATTTTCTCATTACAGCCTCATGAAGAGTTAAATATTTTTTTAGTGAATTTTTAAAGAATAAATATAAAATTAACAAATTTTTAAAGCTGAAAAAAAACTATAAACTGTAAGAAAAAAATATATTTTAAAACTTAAAACTAAAACCTACTTACCTACCGCTAATTTTATATTCTTTTAATCAAGTATTTTCATCAAATGATTGACAAGTAAACGTTTCTTTTAATAATGAATATTCTCTATCTTTTTTTTGATAACCTAATGAATATTCTCTATTAATAACTGTTACCAAAAACATATAGACGTTTTTTTTTTGGTGTTGTACATATAGACGTTATTTAATTGAAAACTTAATGAAAAAATATAAGAATTTTAATCTAAATATTTTCTAAAATTAAAAAAAATACTATAATTGTCCTAATATAAAACAATATTTTAAAAATCGGATCGATTATCAAATTGGTCAGGTCAAGGGTCAAATTGATGAATTATTAATTGAATCGCACAATCCAATTTTTATTAATTTTTTTAAAAAAAATATTCATGTGATATGTATTTTATGTCATATCATACAGAATCTCTAAAAAAAATTATAGTCAATAATTGATAATGCAATCAAATTCTAAACAGATTGAACATCATAAATTAATATATAATTAAATATATAGTTTTTAAATTAAAATATTATTATATAAATTATTTAAGTCAATTATATAAGGACAAAACATATTCATTTAGTGGTCATTGTATTAAACAATTCTACAAATTGGTATAAATAAAATACAAAATAATTTAAGGATATATATAGTATTTGTCAAACATATACGCAAAAAATGTTTGGTTATGTGATAAGTCATTATATTTATATTTGATGAAATTCCGCATCAGCTCCTGCTAATGTTAATTTTACCACTACAACCATTAAAATTTTGCACAATTCTAAAGTAGCACACATGCGTTAGATTGGCAGAACAACTTTTCAAGATCATGAATCTCAAATTTAAAAAGTGTATACAATCCAATTACCAACTCGAATCAATTCAGTCTTTGGGTCAGGATCGATCGGTCGAAACCTATTAAGTGTTCTTCACTTCACGTTCACTATTGAAAGTTGTTATTGCAAGTGTTGAATTATGGTAGTAATAGATAAATAGAGAGATACCGTTAGGCAAAACACCAACCTAGAATGAATATTGTCATGGAAATGTACTATGGTGATATATACAACCATTGGAGATGAAGCGTGCCCCCAAAAGAATAAGAAAACAAACAAAAAGTGGGGTAGTATACATCTGAAGCTATTTAGTATATGCTTTCAATTCATGGTAATGGAGTTGCTTTATCTTTTGGTAAACAATCATTTTTCCTATAAACTTACAACTGCTAGTCCTTCATAAATAAATTAAAAATCTGAAAAGGACTGCAATACACTTTACATTGACACAGACAAGCTTTGCAGAGATACAAGTTACATTCATGAGCTAAGAAGAAACCTAGCACCAGCCACTCCAATTCTAAAATCTTAAGCCCAATTTGGATAAATTTATCAATAAAGAGAAGAAATAAGATAACTTTCTACTAAAAGTTAAAATTAAGTTACGCACATCAGCTTTTGAAAAAAATAAATAAATAAGTGAAATTTTAAGAAGACTGATGTACATAAGATGATTTTAACCAATCAGAGAAGTTTGATTTATCTTCTCTCTTTATTTTCTTCTCTTATAAATACTTGTTGAGAAGTTTATCTAAACTGGACCTTAATCTGCTTCATATTCAATCTGCTTTTCGGATTGATCCCAGCGATATTTAAGTATAACAAGCCTTTTCTACATGTGACAATGTGAGATTCTGGTTTGATGTCCGAGTTGCACATCATGATCAATCCAACTTTCAAAATGATCACGATTTAGATTGCAGATCTATTTTTCCATCCAATTATGGCCGAAATTGAAGCCCTCCTACTTCAAATTATAAGCCAGCGCTCAGGATGTCAGAAGAATTGTTTAAACGTTTCCAACAGGTTGATGAGATTGGCCTGAAAGCTTGAGTGCAAACCTCCATGAAAAACTGTACCAAAAACCACCGTTAGGAGGAAATTTTCCTTTAAACCATCTGTAACACTTTTACACATCCACTTGAATTGGCCGCAATAAGCATGTCTGACTTCCCTCTCCAGCACACACTTGAAACAAATTGACCATTGTCCTCATCAGTGTCTTTACCGGAAATGGGATCAATGGACCCGAATTTGTGCGAAGTGATTGGCATGGGAAGCGATCTATAGTAGCTGTAAACCTGCAAGAAAACATAGCTGTGATGCCAGCACGCTCACACACAACTTTCTGCTCAGTATTCAAAACTCTGGCCTATTCGTTTTTCCATCTTGGTCATTTAACCACAAAATTTGAACATTGAAAATTGTAACGTTGCTAGTCACGGTTATCAACAGAAATCGGTGCATATACAAGTCGCACAATAGAATTAGCATACTGATATTCCCAAGGATTGTGACTAGTCATAATGTTGCAAAATAAGTCCAATTAACTGAAATAACTAATTAAATAAACATATTCGATTCTACATTTCTAATAAGTTTAAACCAAGTAAATAAATGTCCTACTGAAACTGATATATACCTCATTTGTTTCTGAACCACATGCGATATATCCATCAGCCACTGACAGACCCACGAAATTCTGTCAAATAGAGGTGGAAAATTTCAGCTAATCATTTTTAGTAAACATAAATATTGTTCAGTTTAATGACAAAAACAGATCAAATTTCAGACATGCAGGCATAGTAGTTTGTTCAACATAGCTGTGAACAAATCAATTTGGTCTGGATTTAGTAAAATTGATTTTTCTATTCAGATCATCAACCATAATCTGATGCTCCATTTAACACCCATATAAGTTAAATTCTCCAAAGGAACTTCGAAAGCCAGTGGCAAACAAACCTTACATACTTTACAAACTTAAATTCCATCCGGTGCTATAAAATTTAAAACCAAACCTTCTCATTAGTATGTCCTGACAGGCTTAAGCTGCAAGCATTGATGGACGCACCCACAGGAGAGGTTTTATTGAGATCCCAGATCTTCAACGTATTATCAGTAGAAGCAGAAACAAGTGTTTCAGAGTCCAAGAATTTGACATAGCTCACAGCTTTACGATGGCCAGCCAATACACACCAAGGACTTCTAAGATTGCGAAGATCATAACAATATGTTGAGTAATCTGCAGATCCAAAGGCCAGCAAATGGGAGGAATGAGCAGAGAATTGAACACAGCAGACATTAGCAACACTCCTGATTGTGCCCAAACAGTTCTTCTGAAAAAAATAAATTGTATTGTAAGCTCTTGATTAGTTATTGGGAAGAAATTATCATGTCTTTTTTGCAGCATCTAGGGCTTATGAAGAAACAATGTGATGCAAAATCTATCCATACAATTAAGAAAATAATGGTCGTTCAAAGCTGTCTCCCTACTCAGGGACTAAAGGTTTCCACTGCCACATTTTGAAAAATAAAGATAAAAAGGTCAAATATATTTTAGCCCCTATAAATAGGACAACATCCATTTTTAGTCCCTCGAAGAAAAAAAAAAACCTTTCCATTTGGTCCCTCATTTATGGAAATAAAGATCATACACATCACACATTTTCATAAATGAAGGACCAAAAGAAACAACTTTATTTCAGGGACTAAAAGCTAACATTATCCAATTTGTAGGGACCAAAAATATATTTAACTCAAGATAAAACAATTTAATAAGCAACCTTTCTCCGTACTATTGGTTAAGCAAAAACTGATTTTTTTCTTAGATTCAATTTCATCTTGATGTAAATACAAAAGGTTCATTTGGTGATCAGGGATTGTTTTAAGCGGGACATGTATGCGTGCATTTGTACATGAAAAAGGGCTTTACCTCGCTGATGCTCCACAGCTTGACAGTACAATCATCACTTCCACTGGCAAATTTTGTAGGGCATACTGCAGAGAAGTCAACAGACCAAGCCCTCTTCTCATGTTCAGTGAATTGAGAAAATTCTTGACCGGTACTAGCATCCCATAACTGAAAATGCATCAAATTATACAATGTCATGACTAATGCAGAAAGTCAAAACATGGCAGTAATCAAGAAATAGTTACATGTCTTGACTGGTACTAGCATCCCACAACTGTTACAGCACATTAATGAGAACTTTATAAGGATAAATGCATCTGCTTGTCCACAAGAACACATCCTTTTACCTCCAAAGTATAACTTCTCATGAATGCATTGTATGATTGCATCTAATAAAATAACAAAAACATCCCAACTCCCAAGTATTCTAAATTCATAGAAAGTTGCTCTATCCATCTATATGCATTATAAATATTCAATTCCAGTACCAGCTTCAATGTTTCACAGACAATCTTGTGAGTTAAGAAACCAGTTCACTTGGAAACGAACACCCTAGAAAGTTCAATGAAACTTAGAAAATCATGGAAACAAATATGATAAAGTCAAGGTACTAACAATTCACTAATCAAGTTGTTAAAGATATAATATAAAACCGTTCATATGTCTTCACCTAACAGCTTATGCTTTAGGGACAGTTAGTTCATGGCATGGTATTAGAGCCTCTATGACAAAGTGGTCTAGAATTTGATCCTTGTTTCCTTATTTTGCTAATAAACAATTGAATATCACCACAGGATAATTGAGTTTGTGCATTATCTATGCTTTAAGCCCAAAGAACTCTTACATGATTGGGTTTGTTAGAGATATAAATATAATATAAAATCATTCATCAGTCTTCCGCTAATAGTTTAACCTTTTTGGGATAATTGGTTTGACTCACGACAGTCATGACAGAAATAACAGAATACTATATGCTAGATTCCAAACAAGACCGACCGACCAATCTTGAGAAAATTAACACTATTTTCTCTACTTTGGGGCTGAGTTTTGGTCCGAATAATCAAGTGAAAAAGTGAGTAGACCCTTTGAGGTAAATCATTTTGGTTTGAATCAGAAAACATCAATTCCAGATAAGTAATGAATGGATATTGCAAAAGTAATGGATGAATGCTGCAAATAATGTCTTCCAATGATTAGAAAAGGTTTCAAACAGTGTGTTATGCAAAACATACCTTCACTATACCGTCATAATCTGTAGAAGCAAGATAGTTCTTAATATAGTTATTCCAGCAAACACAGCTGAGTTTTGATCTGTTTGACATCTCAACAGCAGGATAATGGATATCAACAGAATCATTGCAAAGTGCACTAAACTCGAATATTTTTATTTTCTTAGATATCCCGGCAGAAGCAAAGTAATCCTCATCACGATCAAAGCTTAGAGAGCAAATTACGTTTGCAGGATTGCTAAAATCAGCATTTCTTAGTACACCCCGCACTTCAAACTTGCAATAACGTGCATACTTGCATAAACCATCAAAGAATGTCCCTAAAGTATCTTTGCTTTTAGGTTGTTCCTCTCCTTTTTGGGTCACATACCAGTTCTCACGATTTCTTAGTATATCTTTATCTGGGTGGGTTGTAGCATCTGTTTCAGAAAGCTGAAGTTTGGATCTCATGGAAAAATAAGCACTTTCAAGATGGCACATATTTCTCATCAATCTTAATTCATTTGAATTAGAGATTGGGGACATTGAGGGCAGCATTTCTAAACTCAAAGGTTCCTTTTTAAGAGACATAGTCTCTATCTGACAAGAGTAATCATTCTGCAAACCAGAGGAAACCAAGGAATTTTTTGAGTCATGCCTCCTCTCCACCTCTTCTATATCTGATTCCAAGCACTTGATTTCTTCTACCAGTTTGAAGGCAGTGTTCTGCTTCTGCTCTTTTAACAGGACGAGGAAATGCAATAACAATTCTGATTCTGCATCTTCTTGGTCAATATTTGATGACATTTCCTCACTATATAACTCTTGCAATCCATTAATCAATTCAGATTGTAGGATTTCCCTGTTATGCAACAGAATTTATAACTTTAGGGAATCATATCAATAGAGTATAACTAGAGAGTTTGAAGTCCATATTTAAGGACTACCAGCATATTTAACTAAAACACTCCTAAATATGTAATTATGTATTCAAGGACAGAAAAAAAAAAAAAAAAAAAGAACATCAAATTTAAAAAATTCTCTGTATCATTTTGATGAGACTCCAAAACTAGCCACTCGTAAATGTAACCATTATTGAATATCACAGATAGAGGTTGCGAATTAACAGCAAAACACTGGAATACATCTAAAGAACAGAAAAATGATGACACTAAAAGAAAGAAATTAACACATAGCTCACAGAGCTTAGGGCACAAACCAGATGCAAAAAATTCCTTAGAAATTCTCCCCAGATGATTCCCTTACCCAAGTTCCCCTCCTAATAAGTCAGAAGCCCCTTTCTCCCTCCTTCATCTCATGCATAACTACCAGCACTAAACCTTCTCAGCACATGTCCCTCTTCCTCCTGGAATAAATCTACCAAATTCATTGCCCATGGCTCAATTGATCAAAATATCAGCCCACTTCTTTCTTTTGACCCTGATGTATATCACATTCAAGCAATCTGCTATGTTTCAATGTGCTATGATTCAAATTTTCAATGCAGATGCAATTTAAAAAAAGCAACACATTTATTCACTTCATAGTTAGTAATATCAAAGGGATAAAAATGACATCTCAGGGAACAAATATTTCAACTGTATCTATAATAGATTCACAGACACTTTTTTATAAATAATATCGATGAAAAAAACATGTGGCTGTCATTGTCTAGTTAAATGGGAATTATATTTTTATTGTTGATTTATAAAGTGCCTTCACTGCTTTAATCTTGTTAGTTTTCCTACAGCACCACACCATGTTGGAGAACATAATACTATATCCAAATTAACCCACCGGCCACCACCAGAGGGAAAGGTGGAGGAGGAGTTCCTTGCATAAAGATCTATGATGAGTGATAACACATGAGAGATAATTCACGAGCCAAATGGTGACAAATGTTATGCATATGCGAACATCTTTGATCAGCAACATAAACAGCATGCCATGTCTCCATTATGCCATATACATTCTTCCATATTCATAGAAATTATCAAAAAGAAAAGAAAATGAGATACATATATCAGATGTTGGTGAAATCCTTTTGTTATATAGTGTTAAATGAATTAAATCCTTTTTGTCATATCAGATGTTAATCTTAACTATGACAGACAATATTTCAATGCTACCTTGTTGTTGGACGTGATGATGGTTCAGGATGCAGCAGCCAAAGACAAAAGCCAGCTTCCTTAGGATTTTCTGATAGGAAAACTGGAGGAAGAATCCTATGACGAAGATCAGACATTGCTGCAATATGTGTTCTTTCAGAGTCAAAATGGCCAAGTAACTGAAAAAATTGACCCAAATAAAATCAGTTGTTGAACTTACTATGCATCAAATTGCTTCCAATTATACCAATCGTTTAATTTTAGTGACTGCAAATATTTTCAATTTTTCATTAAACTTCCCACACTAGTTTTTTTATTTAACCTGAAATGAGAAGCCACTTTGCTAACAAATGTACTTTATATCAGGCTTTGAACCTTGCTAGGAAGATATCAGCACAATGAAAAACTAAAGGAAAAACTTATAAGTTTTCAAACCAACACTAAAGCTAGAAAGCCATGCTGAACTCTATTTTATATAGACAGAAGTCTATTTCCATTTTTGCTTCATAAGTTCATCATAGAAACACATTTCAAATTGAGGAATAAACATTATAAAAGAATGCATGAAAATTGCATTAAAAAAATGGAATTGAAGAGGCATCATGAACTTGACTACACACCTCGAAAAGGAGCACACCAAGGCAGTAGATATTTGATGATGTTGTGTAACCTCCTTCAGGACTCACATACCATTTATTTTCCAATTTTTCAGATGAAGTCAATGGCATTTGATTTGCATTAGATACACGAGGGATGCTAGACATTCTTCCAATGTTATATTTAGAGAATTGGGTATCTTCCTCGTATTCATTGCAATAATCTTGTGATCCAACTGTATGACTATGAAGTGTCCTATCACTTGCGGTATCAAGACCACCAGTGGCTCTCAAATTCTCATTAAATTTTTGTTTCTTTGACCCCATATCAAGAGAGGGAAATCTTACTTGCTCCGACAGCCTTTTTCTAATAAAAGAATTATCTGAGTGAACAACCTCAGAATTTACAACACTATCCACCATCTGTTTTTGAACAGGTAAACCGAGGTACATGACCTGGTTTGATGGCGTGAGTTTAATATAAGATGGACAAAGGTTATGCAATGCAACTCCCTGAGAGTGAGAGTTGTCCACCAAATCCACAATCTTCCTAAATATATTCAAATTTTCAACTTTGCTTGCTTTGTGGTGCCCATGTTTCAACCATTCTCTCAAAGTCACACCATCACATTCAGACCTGCCAGATCTAGGCATTGCACCACCATAAGCAGTAAACTTTGCAGTTTTGGAACCACATCCCGCTGATTGATTAGAGTTCATGTGAGTGCCAATACCAGTCTTCATCTGTTTCTGATCTGTACCAATGCCATTCTTCATCGGATTCTGATCTGTGCCAATGCCAGTCTTCATCTGACTCTGATCTGTGCCAAAGCCAGTCTTCGTCTGATTTTGATCTGTGCCAATTCCAGTCTTCATCTGATTCTGATCTGTGCCAATGCCAGTCCTCATCTGATTTTGATCTGCATCAATGCCAGTCTTCATCCGGTTTTGCTCTCTAGACTGAGCACAGAAGGCATCATAAGATGGACCTTTATATACAATACCCTTACCCTTCAGTGTATTTTTTATGAAAAACTCAGCAAACCCTGATTGGGATATAATTTTTGTCCGTATTCCTTGACGAACATCACCTGCACCCTCTTTGTTTTCAGCAGCTGCCAGGTGCTCCATGACATTGCTCTGGCCATCACTGAGAGATTTTCTAGCTAACATCTCTGGGAAAGATGAGGATCCAATATCCTCCCGAGCACTAGATGTAGCCTGGACACTGTTTCTGGTTCCAATATCACTTAGTGAATTTCCGATTCCTGAATTAGTTGCTAGCTGATAAAAATTCTGCCAATGGTTCTGTCGACTATACATTTGCTCTCGGTTGTTTGAAGTACCGATATCCAAGCTTGAGCCATTGTAACTTTTTACTGTTAATTCTTCAACCATAACATCGGCATCATCCATGAAAAGGCTTACACGAGGATGCTGTGATGTATTTGCATGGTTGATACCTTCAACTACATTTTTACCCTGTAGAATGTCATCATATTCCCGAGGTGGTATCTGAGAGTAGTCCTGCTTCGCAGGGGTAAAGACTTCTTGGGATTTTAAGGTTTTTCGGCATTCGGTGTTGGGTGAATACTCATTGTCCTCTTTGTTCTGGCGCTGTGAATCCTCAGCAACCTCTAATTGGGTTGCCTCATCAACCAATTCTTCATCCATGTTGTATTTTTAACTTCATCAATCACATATCCACCGTAGCAAAGTTAGCAATCAATACACAAACCAAAACTGCTCATATGTTACATCGACCAATCTGTCAAATAAATTTAAAAAACATGTGAATTAAATATTTATTAATTAACATTTAGAGTTACAATCACAAAAAGAAAAAGTAAAAATCTACGCAGAGCAGTTTGCAGATTCGGAAAATGAAATTGCAGGAAATAAAGAGAACATTGGACATATTCGTAACCTCGTCGGTGAATCTCATTTGGATTAACAAAAATATAAAGTATAAGATATAAATTAAGAACAGCAATAATGATGAAAATGAAAGAGATTGGCATGTGAATTAAAGAAACAGAAATTGAGGAGCAGAGAGAAGAATACTTAGGTGGAAGCGAAGCGAAGCGAAAAGGAGAGAAGAAAAAGGCGAATCTCTCTGTGGTGTGAGTTAAAGTCGGTGTACCAAACAAAGTATTGAGAGGAAGAAGAAAAGAAACGGTAGCAACTCTGACAAGACAATAGCTCTTAGCTACCCAGGCAAATAGAAAGAATCATGAAGATGAATGAATTCAAGATAACGGTGTACGGGCCGGCCTTCATTATTGGGTTCGACCCGACCCGGTTAAATATTCCTCTTTTAAATGCTAATACGAATTACTTAATATTTATCACTTTTTGTATTTAATATATTTTCAATAATAATTTCAATAAATATTTGTAATTAAAACATTCATAAAAATATTTGATTTGGTATATTTTAAGTTTTATCATAATCTAATTGATATTTGTCAAACTTTAAGAAAATTAATCTTTATATTTGACTTTGATCTTGATATTAAAAAAAAGGTGTATAATATAAATTTATTTTATCATAGTATAGTATAGTACTCATCATTTATTAATATGTTTTTATTTGATATTATGTGTTAAAAAAATATTAAAATATTAGTGGCTATTTTTTTTCACAACGGTGTAAAGTTAGAAAATAAATTTTGATTATCTATCATTTAATTCATTTATTATTAAATTTTTATTCTTATTGGTAGATTTATTTACATTTATTATTTATGAAAATATATTTGTAAATTGAAATAAAATAGGATTTTTTTTTTGTTATATCAAGTGAAGAAAATTACAGAGTTGGAATTGAATCTGAATCTTCTTGGTGCTAATTATCCTAATCTCAACTCTCCTAATTATTAAACTAATTTTAGTGGTAAACAAAATAGGATTAAACATTATTTTTAATATATTAATTCATAATAAAAAATTGAGAAAAAGTATTTTTATTTTTATCTCAATTTAAAAATTGTCTCATTTATTTTTCTTAATTTAAAACATGTATAATAATTATTAAAAATAATTTTTAAAAATCACAATAATTTAATGAATTTTAAAAACAAAAGGTGGAAATAATTTAAAATTTTGGAAACAAAAAGGTATTGCTGAGATATGTGAGTTGTTTTAAGCTTTTAGTACCAAATTCAATTCTAATAAATTTTAAAAAGTTGCATGTAACATGTAATTAGAAATTTTCATTCGAATTTAAACTTTTATTTTTTAAAATTAATACTAACTGAGCTACTTGAGTATCTTAAAGGGAATGACATGCATCACTTTTTCTAATTATTTTTATATATAATTTTCCATTTTCTGGTTTTATTTATTCTCGTGTCACATTTTCTGGAGAAAATTAGCAATTTGTGAGATTAATAACTCTATTTTTTTCTAGGAAAAATAGGTTATATATTAAAAATGCAAAGTATTTTTTTTTTATAATTCAATTATAAATCGTTATCATCATGTATGATAAAGCTTATAATATTATAATAAATAACAAAAAAATTACATTTATAATATTTTTTATTAATAAATAATCAGTGTATAACTATTAAAAAAAATTATGTCACAATCACATTTTTAATATACCATTTTGTTAGTGTTAATAATCAAGGTTGATTATAAATAATTGAAAGTGAAACTTAACATTCAAAATTTTAATTAATTACAAATTTTTTAAAGAATTCTTCAATTAATTTTTATTTTTCAATAAAAAGTTTTTTTAATCATATTATTAGTATGAAATATTTATCAGTTTTGTTAATAATTAATCTTTATCAATATATTATAGAAATTTTAAAAATATATTATCAATTTATTTTAATTAAATTTTAATATATCATACCAATGTATTGATAATATAAAATGAAGTTATAATGTCTTTTACTCTCTTTTTTTAATTTAGAAGTATATCTCTTCTACCAAACCATCCATTTTGAGATAAAATAGTATAGTATTTTTAGTTATGCTTTGTTTTTATATCTTTTACTTTAATTAATAATTTATAATGCTTAAAATGTTGGATTCATTATATTATGTAGCAATATAATTTTGAGTAAAATTATAATTGAATTAAATTTTATATCACATGAATCCAATTTTTCGTGTTACGGATCTTGGTATTGATCATAAAACGGGTTTTCTGGTTTTTAATATTCTTAAACACCTTTTATAAATAATTTTTGTATTAATTCCATCAAATATATTTATTTCTATAAAAAAAATTATCATAAAAAATATCAAATCGAATTGTGATCTTGTGTCCCCGCCTATAGAAAAGAAGGACAAATGGCAATGGATGTTCCACGTAGATTCACTTTGGAGTGTCAGGACGCATAACAGAGCACGATGATCGTCGTCCACTAATCTCTGATATTTTTCTGTTCTCCCCATTCAAATTTTCTGTCATTGTTAAAAACATGTTTGCATGGCTTCCCATAAACACTAATGCTATAGTACGAAAAGTAATGGCGAGAATTCAGTGCCAAAATGCATGTCTAAATGTCGTTGGTTGAATGTTAAATTAAAAATTAAAGAGAAATTTTATGGTACCCATCTTATTTGAGAGATTACCGGTACAGTCTTTTATATTTTATATTTTAATAATTTATTTAAATAATATTTATGATATTTTATTCTTTCAATTTTTAAATTATTTAGTTATTTTATTTTTATTTTATATATTCTAATTTATTTGTAATAATATTATTATATATTTAAATAGTTTAATTTTAATAATTTTT